TAGAGGGAGGGTGAGAGAAGGGAGTGAGGCAGTGTTGAGAATTGATTGTGTAGGTAACAGTTTGATAGGATGGATAACTAGAACCTTCAAAACAAGATTGACTGGATAACTAGAACCTTCAAAACAAGATTGACTGGATAACTAGAGCCTTCAAAACAAGATTGACTGGATAACTAGAACCTTCAAAACAAGATTGACTGGATAACAAGAGTCTTCAAAACAAGATTGACTGGATAACAAGAACCTTCAAAACAAGCTTGACTGGATAACAAGAACCTTTAAAACAAGACTGACTGGATAACAAGAACCTTCAAATCAAGATTGACTGGATAACAATAACCTTCGAAACAAGAAATCCCAAACCATTGGTGACACTCCATAGAACTGGTTCTCTCCATGCTGGAATATGTACTTAGAACCTTCACAGCCGGTACATGAACTCAGTCCAGCACCTAAATTGCTGGGAGTGCTTAAAGTTCCTAGAACTGTACTCCTTAGAACTTAGGCGAGAAAGAGACATCATATTCTGTACCTGGAAGATACTGGAGGGATTGGTACCAAACCTACACACCTTCTTCACTACATATAAGCACGAGAAGCCGGGCAGACTGTTGATACACTGAGAGAGAGAGAACTCACTGAGTATATAGGGACCACGACTCTTCAACACACCACGAATAAGGTGGATCACCAACAGATCCCTGACTGTCTTACCTGGATACCTGGAGGTTACCTGTAGGTTATTCCGGGGATCAACGCCCCCGCGGCCCGGTCCATGACCAGGCCTCCCGATGGATCACGGCCTGATCAACTAGGCTGTTACTGCTGGCCGCACGCAGTCCAAAGTACGAGCCACAGCCCGGCTGATCCGGCACTGATTTCAGGTATCTGTCCAGCTCTCTCTTGAAGGCAGCCAGGGGTTTATTGGCAATTCCCCTAATGCTGTTGAACAGTCTTGGGCCCCGGACACTTATGGTGTTTTCCCTTAGTGTACCAGTGGCGCCCCTACTTTTAATTGGGGGCATTTTGCATCGCCTGCCCAGTAGGGAGTGATTTCTGTGTGCAGATTTGGGACCATTCCTTCCAGGATTTTCCAAGTGTAGATTATGATATATCTCTCCCTCCTGCGTTCCAACGAGTACAAGTCAAGTGCTTCCAAGCTTTCCCAGTAGTTAAGGTGCTTGACAGAACTTATACGTGCAGTAAAGGATCTCTGTACACTCTCTAGATCTGCAATTTCACCTGCTTTGAATGGAGATGTTAATGTACAGCAGTATTCCAGCCTAGAGAGAACAAGTGATTTGAAAAGGATCATCACTGGCTTGGCATCTCTCGTTTTGAAAGTTCTCATTATCCATCCTATCATTTTCTTTGCACGTACGACCGTGGCACTGTTGTGATCCTTGAAAGTGAGATCCTCAGACATTACTACTCCCAGGTCCCTTACATTATTTTTCCGCTCTATTGTATGGCCAGAGTCTGTAGTATACTCTGTTCTAGTTATTATCTCCTCCAGTTTTCCATAACGGAGTAGTTGGAATTTGTCCTCATTGAACAAGACAGTTCCGGATTAGCCGGGCCGTGGTGCATACGTTGAACTGCAGGCGGCAGGCACTAACAACCTGATGGATCAGGTCAGCAGCCAGGAGGCCTGTAGGTTGCCTGCAACTGCAGGCAACCTACAGGAAGGAATGCGAGTGGGAGGGAAAGAGGAAGGAGAGAAGGAAGAAGAGAGGGAGGGAGGGAAGGAAGGAGAGAGGGAAGGAGGGAGACAGGAAGAAAGGGAGGACAGAGGTGTCATAAAGATGGTAAGTAAGTGTTGTATCCCACCAGTAGAGGATACATACAACACATGATACAGCTCATAAATAACTGCGGAGCTGTGCACTGTGTCCGATATATTGGTAGGAGAATTACCACCACCCTCCCTCTCCCACCTCTCTCTCTCTCTCTCTCCCTCCCACCTCTCTCCCTCTCCTTCAAGACAGGTGGATAGAGATAAATTCTACCAAATAACTTTTCACAACACACATTAACTTTATATCGTGTCTTAAGACATTGGCTACAGTCAGTCCAGTGCTGTATCACTGTTTATCTTAAGTCAGTTAGTCAGTTACTTTATTTAGGTACAGGTACACTTAAGTACGGTTATCATATATAGTTTAACATACCTTTAGTGTGCCTTGATTACCTGTTATGGTCCCACCTACCTTTAGTGTGCCTTGATTACCTGTTATGGTCCCACCTACCTTTAGTGTGCCTTGATTACCTGTTATGGTCCCACCTACCTTTAGTGTGCCTTGATTACCTGTTATGGTCCCACCTACCTTTAGTGTGCCTTGATTACCTGTTATGGTACCACCTACCTTCAGTGTGCCTTGATTACCTGTTATGGTACCATCTACCTTCAGTGTGCCTTGATTACCTGTTATGGTTCCACCTACCTTCAGTGTGCCTTGATTACCTGTTATGGTCCCACCTACCTTCAGTGTGCCTTGATTGCCTGTTATGGTCCCACCTACCTTCAGTGTGCCTTGATTGCCTGTTATGGTCCCACCTACCTTCAGTGTGCCTTGATTGCCTGTTATGGTTCCACCTACCTTCAGTGTGCCTTGATTGCCTGTTATGGTTCCACCTACCTTCAGTGTGCCTTGATTGCCTGTTATGGTTCTACCTACCTTCAGTGTGCCTTGATTGCCTGCTATGGTTCTACCTACCTTCATTGTGCCTTGATTACCTGTTATGGTACCACCTACCTTCAGTGTGCCTTGATTACCTGTTATGGTACCACCTACCTTCAGTGTGCCTTGATTACCTGTTATGGTTCCACCTACCTTCAGTGTGCCTTGATTACCTGTTATGGTACCACCTACCTTCAGTGTGCCTTGATTACCTGTTATGGTCCCACCTACCTTCAGTGTGCCTTGATTACCAGTTATGGTTCCACCTACCTTCAGTGTGCCTTGATTACCTGTTATGGTCCCACCTACCTTCAGTGTGCCTTGATTACCTGTTATGGTACCACCTACCTTCAGTGTGCCTTGATTACCTGTTATGGTCCCACCTACCTTCAGTGTGCCTTGATTACCTGTTATGGTCCCACCTACCTTCAGTGTGCCTTGATTGCCTGTTATGGTCCCACCTACCTTCAGTGTGCCTTGATTGCCTGTTATGGTTCCACCTACCTTCAGTGTGCCTTGATTGCCTGTTATGGTCCCACCTACCTTCAGTGTGCCTTGATTACCTGTTATGGTCCCACCTACCTTCAGTGTGCCTTGATTGCCTGTTATGGTTCCACCTACCTTCAGTGTGCCTTGATTGCCTGTTATGGTTCCACCTACCTTCAGTGTGCCTTGATTGCCTGTTATGGTTCTACCTACCTTCAGTGTGCCTTGATTGCCTGGTATGGTTCTACCTACCTTCAGTGTGCCTTGATTACCTGTTATGGTACCACCTACCTTCAGTGTGCCTTGATTGCCTGTTATGGTCCCACCTACCTTCAGTGTGCCTTGATTACCTGTTATGGTCCCACCTACCTTCAGTGTGCCTTGATTACCTGTTATTGTCCCACCTACCTTCAGTGTGCCTTGATTACCTGTTATGGTTCCACCTACCTTCAGTGTGCCTTGATTACCTGTTATGGTCCCACCTACCTTCAGTGTGCCTTGATTACCTGTTATGGTTCCACCTACCTTCAATGTGCCTTGATTATCTGTTATGGTCCCACCTATCTTCAATGTGCCTTGATTACCTGTTATGGTCCCACCTACCTTCAGTGTGCCTTGATTACCTGTTATGGTACACCTATCTTCAATGTGTCTTGATTACCTGTTATGGTCCCACCTATCTTCAATGTGCCTTGATTACCTGTTATTGTTCCACCTACCTTCAGTGTTCCTTGATTACCTGTTATGGTACACCTATCTTCAGTGTGCCTTGATTACCTGTTATGGTCCCACCTACCTTCAGTGTGCCTTGATTACCTGTTGTGGTCCCACCAATTTTCAGTGTGCCTTGATTACCTGTTATGGTCCCACCTATCTTCAGTGTGCCTTGATTACCTGTTATGGTCCTGCCGACCTTCAGTGTGCCTTGATTACCTGTTATGGTCCCACTTACCTTGTGTGCCTTGATTACCTGTTATGGTCCCACCTATCTTCAGTGTGCCTTGATTACCTGTTATGGTCCCACCTACCTTCAGTGTGCCTTGATTACCTGTTATGGTACAACCTATCTTCAGTGTGCCTTGATTACCTGTTATGGTCCCACCTACCTTCAGTGTGCCTTGATTAGCTGTTATGATCCCACCTATCTTCAGTGTGCCTTGATTACCTGTTATGATCCCACCTATCTTCAGTGTGCCTTGATTACCTGTTATGGTCCTGCCGACCTTCAGTGTGCCTTGATTACCTGTTATGGCCTCGCCCACCTTCAGTGTGCCTTGATTAACTGCTATGGTCACACCCTACCTTCAGTGTGCCTTGATTAACTGCTATGGTCCCACCTACTTTCACTGTGACCTTGATTAACTGGGTGTGTGAGAAATTTGTGTACGTGGTCACTGATAGTGACTCCAGATCTACTGGAAAAACCTTGTAGGTGACGTAGTATTTACTGACAATCCTTAGTGGAATACTGGACGATATCCTCATTGTCATACTGAGGTCTGTCAGCTCAGGCTGACATTACTGAGGTCTGTCAGCTCAGGCTGACATTATTGAGATCTTTCGGCTCAGGCTGACACATTTCGCTTTGTGAGAGAATCATTGTAGTGGAAAGTGACTGGGAAGCTGTTGTTGTTCCTACTGTGTAACTATCCTGTATAATAGTGTAGCAACACACTGTGGGTGTTCCCACAACACACTGTGGGTGTTCCCACAACACACTGTGGGTGTTCCCACAACACACTGTGGGTGTTCCCACAACACACTGTGGGTGTTCCCACACAACTATCCTGCAATAGGCAGATTAGTACTAATAATTTATGTCTTCCCCGGCAGGTTGGCAGCGGCTGCCGAGGCGCGGGCGTCGGCAGGCCTATCCGGTGAGGGCGTGAGCCGGCTAGGGCGGCCGCCCATCTACGGTGCCATGGGTGGAAAGAAGGGGCCGCCCTCCCAACCTGGAGTGAAGGGCCCCACATCTCTCTTTATACTCTCAGACGATAACTTTCTTAGGAAGTACACAAGATTTATTATAGAATGGCCATATCCTTTTAATGCTACGTGTGTGTGTGTGTGTGTGTGTGTGTGTGTGTGTGTGTTTCACCTGTTCTTTTCCATCATCGTCAGCCTGTATCAGACACCTCCGTCAGCCTAAGCAACTCTAGATGGTAAGTACTCTAGGATGAAGAAAATGAAGGAAGTGAAGAAACGATGAATGAAGAGAGTGAAGGCTGGGGCAGTTGTGTTACTGTCAGCAATAATGCTTGGTGGTTCAGCTGACAGGTGATGGAGGCTAGTGTTAGCCTGGGATGAGGCAGGTCAGTGAGTGATGGTCAGCAGAGTGCACCCTTCCTCAGTAAGGCTAGATGTTGCAACGTCCTGCCTCAGTAAGGCTATGTCTACCTACCTGGAATCTACCTGGAGGGCATTCCGGGGATCAACGTCCCTGCGGCCCTGTCCATAACCGGCCTCCTGGTGGAACAGGGCCTGATCAACGAGGCTGTTACTGCTGGCCGCACGTAGTCCAACGTACGAACCACAGCCCGGCTGATCCGGCACTGACTTTAGGTATCTGTCCAGCTCCCTCTTGAAGGCAGCCAGGGGCCTATTGGTAATTCCCTTTATGCTTGGTGGGAGGCTGTTGAACAGTCTTGGGCCCCGGACACTTATTGTGGTTTCTCTTAGTGTACTAATGGCGCCCCTACTTTTCATTGGGCGTATGTTGCATCGCCTGCCCAGTCTTTTGCTTTCGTAGGGAGTGATTTCTGTGTGCAGGTTAAGGACCAGTCCCTCCAGGATCTTCCAGGTGTAGATTATGATGTATTTCTCTCGCCTGCACTCCAGTGAGTACAAGTCAAGTGCTTCCAGGCGTTCCCAGTAGTTAAGGTATTTGATGGAACTTATACGTGCAATAAAGGTTCTCTGAACATTCTCTAGTTCTGCAATTTCACCTGCCTTGAATGGAGATGTTAATGTACAGCAGTATTCCAGCCTAGAGAGAACAAGTGATTTAAAAAGGATCATCATCCGGGCTGTAGTTCGTACGTTGGATTGCGTGCGGCCAGCAGTAACAGCCTCGTTGATCAGGCCCTGATCCACCGGGAGGCCTGGTCGTGGGGGCGTTGATCCCCGGAATACCCTCCAGGTAGACTCCAGGTAGGATCATTGGCTTGGCATCTCTTGTCTTGAATGTTCTCATTATCCATCCTATCATTTTCCTCGCAGATGTGATAATGGCACTGTTGTGGTCCTTGAAGGTGAGATCTTCGGTGTTGCAAGTGTTGCAAGGTTCTGCCTCAATAAGGCTAGGTGTTGCAAGGTCCTACCTCAAGGCTAGGTGTTGCAAGGTCCTACTTCAGTAAGTCTAGGTTTTGCAAGGTCCCTACCTCAGTAAGTCAACGTGTTGCAGGGTCCCTGCCTCAGTAAGTCAACGTGTTGCAGGGTCCATGCCTCAGTAAATCAACGTGTTGCAGGGTCCCTGCCTCAGTAAGTCAACGTGTTGCAGGGTCCCTGCCTCAGTAAATCAACGTGTTGCAGGGTCCCTGCCTCAGTAAGTCAACGTGTTGCAGGGTCCCTGCCTCAGTAAGTCAACGTGTTGCAGGGTCCCTGCCTCAGTAAGTCAACGTGTTGCAGGGTCCCTGCCTCAGTAAGTCAACGTGTTGCAGGGTCCCTGCCTCAGTAAGTCAACGTGTTGCAGGGTCCATGCCTCAGTAAATCAACGTGTTGCAGGGTCCCTGCCTCAGTAAGTCAACGTGTTGCAGGGTCCCTGCCTCAGTAAGTCAACGTGTTGCAGGGTCCCTGCCTCAGTAAGTCAACGTGTTGCAGGGTCCCTGCCTCAGTAAGTCAACGTGTTGCAAGGTCCATGCCTCAGTAAGTCAACGTGTTGCAAGGTCCCTGCCTCAGTAAGTCAACGTGTTGCAGGGTCCCTGCCTCAGTAAGTCAACGTGTTGCAAGGTCCCTGCCTCAGTAAGTCAACGTGTTGCAGGGTCCCTGCCTCAGTAAGTCAACGTGTTGCAAGGTCCATGCCTCAGTAAGTCAACGTGTTGCAAGGTCCATGCCTCAGTAAGTCAACGTGTTGCAAGGTCCCTGCCTCAGTAAGTCAACGTGTTGCAGGGTCCCTGCCTCAGTAAGTCAACGTGTTGCAGGGTCCCTGCCTCAGTAAGTCAACGTGTTGCAGGTCCATGCTCAGTAAGTCAACGTGTTGCAAGGTCCCTGCCTCAGTAAATCAACGTGTTGCAAGGTCCCTGCCTCAGTAAATCAACGTGTTGCAGGGTCCCTGCCTCAGTAAGGCTGATTTCTCACCATTTATGCAAACTCTCTGTTGTGTATCTGTCAACCCTGCCTCTATCCAGGAAAAAAATTTCCCTTGTGTTTCGTGTCTCAGTAACCTGTGATGTGGAACTCTGTCAAAAGTCTCACTAAAGTCCATATATACAATATCATATTGTTTACCATGATTTACTTCGCCAAATACCTTTGTGAAAAATTTAGTAAATTAGAAAAGCAGAAACGCCTTTATGTAGAACCGTGCTGAGATTAATATATATCTTTCAAGATGGCCTGAAATAACCTCGACAATTATAGGATTCCATCAATTTTCCCACTATGGAAGTTAGACTTATTGGTCTATATAGTTCCAAGCTTAAGGTCCTGTCTCTTGCTTTGTTGATAGGTATCATATTTGTCATTTCCCATTTATCAGGTACCATGCCAGTTTGTAGTGATATGTTGGAAATACTAGTCAAAAGTTTGCTAAGTTCTTCCTTACATTCCTTTAAAACCCTAACGAAGAGTTCATCAGGTGCCGGGGATTTGTTAGGTATTAATTTATATATTTGTCTGAGAACCATGTCACTAGTTACTTTGATCGTACCTAACTTATTTTTTGTTCTCATCGTCATAATTTATTATTTCTGGAATTTCACTTGTATCTTCCTGCGTAAAAACTGAGGATGAACTCTGAGAGAGATCCCGTAGCTCCATCACTAGTGCACTCAGCTCACACACTCTGGTCCGGTGGTCGATCCCCGATACGGCTGGAAAACATTAGGACGTGTTTCCTGAAGACACCTTCTATCCCTGTTCACCCATCAGTAAAATAGGTACCTGGGTGTTAGTGGACTGGTGTGGGTCGCATCCTGGAGACAAAATTAACCTTATTTGCGGGAAATGCTCAGCATAACAAGGAGCTTTCTATATAGTAGTATGTCATTGATGTTAACTATGGTCTGTATACCATGTACATGTGCTGGTAGAAATGAAGATTGTGTGTGTGTGTGAGAGAGAGAGAGAGGAGAAGAGAGGAGAGGTAGGGAGTGAGGGACTGTGAAAGAGGACTTGTGGGTTGACCACAAGGTTAGTGTCAACAGAGGGGGATAGAGTATATAAACCTCTGACCACACACAGACAGGCTAGGCTGTGACAACCATCGTAATTGTTAGTTCACAGTACTCAAGTGTTTCCCGGTCAGTGTGGCTGGCTCCTCTATACTTACCAAACTCTACAAATGCTTTTACGGAAAGTTTAAAAATCACAATAACCTTAAAGAACATCCAAACATTGTCAACCTTCCTGTGTCGTATAGTATGCAGATTTTGACCTGTGTATATATGCAGATATAGTCTAGTAATATATATATATATATATATATATATATATTTATATATATATATATATATATAATATATATATATAATATATATATATATATATATATATATATCAATGAAATCACGAAACAAGTGATTTTAAATCATTTACCAAACTGCGGCGGCCAGGACTCGACCCTACGAACCTTCTACCGTCTCCAGAGACAGCACAATGTACGCATCACCTTAACACTACGCCACTGATCCTACAAGAACCAAGCACACAGCACGTAGCTATGTGTTTGTCTTGGCCCGAGGACACTCGTGGCAGTGGTATCTCAAGGATTAATTTCAGCATCATCCTGTTTGATTGCTATATAGACTGCTTGTTGAGGCGGGAATTCAAACAGGATGATGCTGAAATTAATCCTTGAGATACCACTGCCACGAGTGTCCTCGGGCCAAGACAAACACATAGCTACGTGCTGTGTGCTTGGTTCTTGTAGGATCAGTGGCGTAGTGTTAAGGTGATGTGTACATTGTGCTGTCTCTGGAGACGGTACAAAGTTCGTAGGGTCGAGTCCTGGCCGCCGCAGTTTGGTAAATGATTTAAAATCACTTGTTTCGTGATTTCATTGATATATATATTATATATAATATATATATATATATAATATATATAATATATATATATATATATTATATATCTCACACAGAGGCTGCAGGCCTGGTTCAGGAACTGGCTCCTGGAGTTCAACCCCACAAAGTGCAAAGTCATCTCATACATCAGTCCGTGTTGCCACCTCACACATCAGTCAGTGTTGCCACCTTACACATCAGTCAGTGTTGCCACCTTACACATCAGTCAGTGTTGCCACCTTACACATCAGTCAGTGTTGCCACCTTACACATCAGTCAGTGTTGACACCTCACACGTCAGTCAGTGTTGCTTCCTTACACATCAGTCAGTGTTGCCACCACACACATCAGTCAGTGTTGCCACTACACACATCAGTCAGTGTTGCCACCACACACATCAGTCAGTGTTGCCACTACACACATCAGTCAGTGTTGCCACCACACACATTAGTCAGTGTTGCCACCTCACGCTGCAGAAATAGACGGTGTAATTTTATTTAGTTGGTAATGAAGAGAATTATTTTTTTTTGAGTTGGTGTATGAAGCAGCTAGTGGTGGTGCTAGTGGTGGTGCTAGTGGTGGTGGTGGTGCTAATGGTGAAGGTGCTAGTGGTACTGGTAGTGCTAGTGGTGCTTGTGGTGGCGATGGTGCTAATGGTGGTGCAAGTGGTGGTGGTGCTATTGGTGGTGGTGGTGCTAGTGGTGGAGAGGGTGCTAGTGGTGGTGGTGGTGCTAGTGGTGGTGGTGGTGCTAGTGGTGAAGGTGCTAGTGGTAGTGGTGGTGCTAGTGGTGGTGGTGCTAGTGGTGGTGGTGGTGC